TGACAGTTGCATTTCCTCCTGATCGCACAGTCATTGGCTAATAGTAAGGCACTCAGATTCTCGGTAGTGTTAATGTTAGTTAACCAACAAAGTCTGAATGTACAACACGGGGTGTTTGATTGAACGCGCAACATACTGACAGTACTCGTCTGTCTACAAACGAGCAGTACGGAAGTGATGACAGGGGCGGATACAGCTTTATGAGAAAGGGGGGTGCACACTATTGAGAAAAGGAGGGGTGCACACTTCAATTTCACCCGAGTTTCAATGGTCATGTAACAACAAACTTTCAGCAAGAGACACACAGCCTACCTCTGATCCGCCTATTGGATGATGCCCGTCAGATCTGATGATTTAAACAAATGTTATATTTAAGATTACACTTTCTTAGTAAGTACCAATACTTTGACTTTGGGGGAGTTAGGATCGCCTGCATTCAAAGTCACCGATCTTACCCGATCAGCCACAGACGCTTCAACAACTGGTAGTCCTGATCACGTACTCTCTAAATATCTTACTCCCTGAGGTGAAAAAGATATTGTAAACGAGATTGTGAGGCATATGACATACTGTTTTCTCTGCAAGTGGACTTTGCTTTATTTATTGGCAAAATGTCCTGTACATCTGAAGATACATAATTGTGCTGTACACTACACAATGAGGCAATGCCGAACTTTGTCACGTGGGATAACGCTGTACAAACCGGAAAATTCAGAAGTGTACGTATTTGGTGTATCCACATGGTATGAATCCTTGTATCAGATATTTTCTGTGAATATACAGCAAGTCCTTTCAGTTTGATAATTATCTCCTTATAGATAGCATGGACAACCTCGCTACGTCCTCTACCCTCAGAAATACGTCACTAGAAAGACTCATTTACTATATTCTGTACTATACAGTACAATGAAGAGTAGTTATCTGTACACATTTTCCAGCATGGTCAAACGCCAACTTCTAAAAACGCATTGTCAAAGCGAAATGTCCCAATTCAAACGGTTCATGAAGCGAGTGAAACGGTCGTAAAATCTTCAGTTCTGCAATGTTCGAAAACTAAACAGAGTGGCTCATCGGCGTCTTTTACTGCTTTGTGGCAAGTTCACTGGTAGCTTGCTGCTTGGAAGATGTATTTGAAACCTGGACTCTTACTGAACATAAACTGGTTATGAGGTTTCATTAGGTTGTTATTGCCGTACCTAAAAGTGCGTATCCGAGAACATCCGGGTGAGAATTGGTTTTCAGCAACCCATGCTTGTCGAAAGAGGCCATTAACGGGATAGGTGGTACAGACTCGATGCTCATGATGTTGATTACTGGATTGTCTCGACTATGTACAGACCGCCGCCATATAGCATAATATTGCCGAGTGCGGTAATATTGCCATGCACGCACACGCGCACGCACGCACACACACACACTCACACACGCACACACACACCAAAACAAAAAATACAAAAAAATGTATTAAATGTGAACATAACTCCAGATTCAAAGACAGGTGAACAGTTAGTATTTTGTCAAGTCACCATGGACAGCAATGCAGGCTTCAATGCGGCGGGGCATACTACTGATCAAAGAAGTTAGAAAGTCGTGGTCCATGCTGTCCCAATATCGGACCACCTCTTCTTTCATTTCAGCAATATTTGTCAGATTTTTCTTATTGACACTTTCCTTCATAAGTCCCCAAACATTTTCTATTGGATTTAGGTCAGGGCTATAGCTTGGCCAATCTAATAATGTCATATTTTGGGTCCGAAACCAGGCCTGTGAATGCTTTGAACGATGTTTTGGGTCGTTGTCCTGCTGGAAAATCCAATAATTTCCATAGAACACGTGAGCAGATGGAAGTAAATGTCCCTCGAGAATATCTGTGTACCGCTCACTGTTCATATTCCCTTCAAATACACAGAGGGACGTTGCCCCTAACACAGATATGCCACCCCACACGTTAAATTTCGGACTGTACTTTGGGCGCTGATACAAAGGTTTTTCAGTTTGTTTGGTCCAGAATTTCAGTGTATTAGGAAACAGCCACACAGAACTTTCATCTGAAAAAATCACATTGTCCCAGTTAAAATTTCTATGCTGTAAGCACCAGTTCAACCTTCGCTCCTTTCGTTCAGGTTTCATGATCGGTGATGGAATTCCTCGACTTTTCTGCCAACCCATTGCAGCTCAGTTCTAATTGTCTCCTTACAGACAGCCACAGTTCCGCTATCAATCATATCCAGCCTTAAGTTTTCTAAACTCCTTCGTTTGTTTTTAGAAACAAGAATACCAAGCCGCCTCCTGTCACCGACAGTCAATTTTCTGGGCCTACCTGCGCCTCCCTGGTGCTCAATGCCATATCCATTTGCAATATTTTTCAAAACACGATAAACAGTGGACAAAGGGATGCCTGTTCTACTTGAAATCACTTTAGCTGATCTGATGTCCTTGTTATAATACTCTAAAATCAACTTCCTCTTCTCTAAATCATCCATCCACAGTGAGGATCACTGAAAATGTCGTCTGCTAGCAAGTAAATAAAGGGGGATAACTCTTCACAAACTAATGAAAAAGGATTAACGGAGTTTTCTCTCTAGAATGAAACCAAGCACTTGATAGCTGGTCAAGGTTGTTTATACTAGAAATCCAATTAAACATATTCCTAAAATTCTCAATAATTTCTGGTCATACTATAACACCTACATTAAACCACAAATATTGCAGACACGTGACAAGGTAAAGCAGTGGTGAAGAAAGATTATTCCCACAAAATTCACAAAAGTGGCCATAAACAAAAGATATATATATCTCGATGAGATAATACCTCGACCGTGTCGCATTGGTGTCGGGACCCGTTCGGTATGCTATGGGTTATCATAAGTTACTTATGCTATGGGTTATCATAAGTTACTTATGAAATGATGTGTATGTTCCATGTATGGTTCAATTCTAAACACTCGCAGTTTAAAATCCGGATTTTATTACTTCACCAGCCACCAATGGTGGTTCAAGATCATCGCATATGATACATCATATATACAGATATGATCAAGATAACAGTTCAACAGGATACACAAATATGTTCAATATACAATATATAAACTATGTACATCCACATAAATATAGTCCAATAGATGAAACATGTCGGTTCTTCCATTATGTCACGCTATTTTGGGCGTTTATACTTATAGACATCGGGAATTTAGTAATATGTGTGCCGGTATACATAATAAAATCGATTGACTACATTGCATTGAAGTAAATAATGAAACTCATCTCCAAAAATGGAAGAATCACATTTTTCACCTGATTCGTTTTCTCTTGGAATTCCAGTGTTTGGTACTTATTTTAAAACAGTTTATATTTTCTAGAGGAAGAGCATGGGTTTGAGAAGTGATACATAATCTGTTTGCTCTTGGAAATCCGTCGTAATTTCTGTGTTTGGGACATCTTTTAAAACACTTTTTCGTTTCCTAGAGGAAGAGGGTAGGTTGGAGAAGTGATCCATGTGGAAAGTGTTTCCGTTGAATTAACTGGAAACAAACACTAGACGCTACACTCCTCGTATAGTCAGTCCTCCAACATGCAGATTACACGTATTTTATCAAAACAAGACCAATCCTGGTTATAAAAAGCAAGCACAGTCAGCTCTATTCAAACAAACGTCTGGAAAAAAATTGTATTGTTTAATAAAAGATGTCATTGGATTGCTTTATTGTTTGAAGCTGCAAGTATATTCCTGGGCCCTGTTCCACAAAGCGATCGTGGTAAGACGAACGCAGATCTCGTACTTGAACACACGTAATTGACTTACGACGGAATGAGCCCTGGAGGAAATACATGTATGCATGTTCAATCAAAATCGAACAGAAGTTATGTAATGATTGAATTAATCCGCCCTACGGATCAGCCCCAGGAGATATTTGTTTCTGAGTCAGCCATCTGAAACCTGTTCTAAAAAAATAAACGGTTTTCAAAACAGTAAAACCATACATCATCCATAATTAATGTATGGCCTTGCGTTGTCAAGTGAGTGATGTATTTACTTCATGAATTGTAAATGTTGTCAAACAATACCGGCTAACAGTATTATACACAAGTGTTTATGAGCCAGCAAGGATCGATATGATTGCTTCATTATCACACGTCCAAATGATGCGTTGCTATGAATCACTGCGAACACAGATCTCCCAGTATTGTCGCGATTTCAATGTGTCTGTTTCTGTTGTGTATGTCGTCATTGTTGTGCCTGTTTCCGAAGTGGATGGCTTCATCATTGTGCCTGTCCTCTCTCTTGTCTTCTTTGTCGGCTATGTCTGTTGGGTCTGCTTCCCTCCTGCGTGTCTGCTGTGCCCGTGTCTGTATTGGGTCTGTTTGCCTCCTGTACGCCTGCTGTGCCCCTGTTTGTATTGGGTCTGGTTGCCTCCTGCGTGTCTGCAGTGCAACCGTCTGTGTTGGTTCCTGATTTTCCCCCTGTGTGTCTGCAGTGCTTATGTCTGTATTGGGTCTTGATTTCCTCCCGTGTGTCTGCTATGTCTGTATTGGGTCTGTTTTCCCTCCCGTGTGCCTGCTATGTCTGTATTGGGTCTGTTTTCCCTCCCGTGTGTCTGCTATGTCTGTATTGTGTCTGTTTTCCCTCCCGTGTGTCTGCTATGTCTGTGTTGGGTCTGTTTCCCTCCCGTGTGCCTGCTATGTCTGTAATGGGTCTGTTTCCCTCCCGTGTGCCTGCTATGTCTGTATTGGGTCTGTTTACCCTCCCGTGTGTCTGCTATGTCTGTGTTGGGTCTGTTTCCCTCCCGTGTGCCTGCTATGTCTGTATTGTGTCTGTTTTCCCTCCCGTGTGTCTGCTATGTCTGTATTGTGTCTGTTTTCCCTCCCGTGTGTCTGCTATGTCTGTAATGGGTCTGTTTCCCTCCCGAGTGCCTGCTATGTCTGTAATGGGTCTGTTTCCCTCCCGTGTGCCTGCTATGTCTGTATTGGGTCTGTTTACCCTCATGTGTGCCTGCTATGTCTGTGTAGGGTCTGTTTCCCTCCCTTGTGCCTGCTATGTCTGTATTGGGTCTGTTTCCCTCCCGTGTGCCTGCTATGTCTGTATTGGGTCTGTTTCCCTCCCGTGTGCCTACTATGTCTGTAATGGGTCTGTTTTCCCTCCCGTGTGCCTGCTATGTCTGTGTTGGGTCTGTCTCCCTCCCGTGTGCCTGCTATGTCTGTAATGGGTCTGTTTTCCTCCCGTGTGTCTGCTATGTCTGTATTTGGTCTGTTTCCCTCCCGTGTGTCTGCTATGTCTGTATTGGGTCTGTTTCCCTCCCGTGTGTCTGCTATGTCTGTATTGGGTCTGTTTCCCTCCCGTGTTTCTGCTATGTCTGTGTTAGGTCTGTTTTCCCTCCCGTGGGTCTGCTATGTCTGTATTGGGTCTGTTTCCTTACCGTGTGTCTGTTATGTCTGTATTGGGTCTGTTTCCCTCCCGTGTGTCTGCTATGTCTGTGTTAGGTCTGTTTTCCCTCCCCGTGGGTCTGCTATATCTGTATTGGGTCTGTTTTCCCTCCCGTGGATCTGCTATAATATCTGCAGTGCCCCTGCCTGTGTAAGGTCTTGATTTCCTCCATTGTGTCCTCCTCCTGTCTGTTCTGCTTCTCTCTGCAGTCTTCTGTCTCTCCTGTGCCTCCTGTCTCTCCATTGTCCGATGTCTCCTACTTCGGATGTAGTTCCGGTGTTGTCAGTAGTCACTACCGTGTGTACAGTAATCTCCAGACAGACGAAGTCAACCACATGATTTGAATCTCAAACATTGGAATTGATATCCGTGATTCGGGATGGTCAACATAGAGAAACATTTGTACGAAATCATTTGGAGGATTTTACTGCTATCTTCTGACAAACGTAGCGTCTCGCGAGACAAAACGATGACATCCTAAGATATATTTGTCATGGAATGCAAAGAGTTTGTCTCCAATATATGAGGTTTTCACATGATATCATTTCCACTGCACATATACACATGTAGTATGTCTGTTGCAAGCAAAATACAGCACACGGCCATTTGCTGGAAATTCCCACAAGAACAGCCCAAACACCCTACCACTCCTGATCTTATTCCGATGTTTTCCGAGAACAACATCCACACACATCCCCAGAAAAGCAACCGGAACACGAATCCTTGCACGAGATTCTTGGACACGATACTCGACATATACAGGTTGGACTTTGACAGGTGTTTCCCTTACACGTCTTCTTGATGATGACCTCACTGCAGAGAATTCCCATGGCGAGAAACAAGCCCGCCCCAGCAGCGTAGAAGGCACTCTGTAACGCCAGCAGGCCGACCTTCTTGGCGGAAGTCGAGGTCTTTTCACAAGTATTTGCTGCCTTCCATTTCTGATACCAAAGCTGAATAAGACCGCCCTCATGGATCCGCAGAAGTCTGAAACATGATTGATTGATTGATTGATTGATTGATTGACGCCGCACCCAGGAACATTCCATCTATATGTCTGCGGTCTGTGAATAATCGAGTGTGGACCAGACAATCCATTGATCAACAGCATGAGTATCGGTCTACGCAGTTGGGATACGATGACATGTGTAAACCATGTCCGCGATCCTCACCACCCGATCCCGTTAGCCGCCTCCTACGACATGCATGGGTTGCTGAAGACCAATTCTAACCCGGATGTTCACGGGTCTCTAAAACATGAATTAGAGCGTGAGTTTAACGCTGTTTTGTGAAACATTATCTCAGTATTATGCCACATTGATGTGGGAGAACTGATTCAGGTCTCTTGCACAGTTCGGTTACTGTGTCAGCAAACCCAGATGCATCATCAGGTTTCAAGCTGGTATTAGTACCCGAAACGCGTTATGCACAACTCACAGCGAACTGTGGTACTTCAGACTACCGTTAGTCTAAGGCCTAACTTCCTTGATCATAAAAATCCTATATTCGTTGTAAACGTCGCTCTCTTCCAAACGGATGTTGACAAACCGTGTTGCAACTTATATACTGTTCAAGATGTCAAACTCACGTACTAATTATTAACTTAAAAGAATGCCAATATCTATTTTACATCTGAGTCACCTGACCTTTAGTGTTAGATAACATATACCTTCATACAGACTTTTGTTAGAGAGACTTAACTGTTTTAGTCTGATATTGATGTTGTTGTTGCATAGACTTACTGTTCAGCGAAGAATTTGGTATAGATACTGTAGTGAGGGAGACTCACTGTCCAGTGAAGAGTCTGATGTTGATACTGTTGTCAAAGATATTTACTGTTCACTGAAGACTCTGGTATACATACTTTAATTTGTTAGAGATACTTACTGTTCAGTAGACAGTCTGGTATTGACACCGTTGTTAAAGGGACTTACTGTTCAGTGGAGAGTCTGGTATTTATATTGTTGTTAAAGATACTTACTGTTCAGTGGAGAGTCTGGTATTGACACCGTTGTTAAAGATACTTACTGTTCAGTGGAGACTCTGGTATTGAAACCGTTGTTGGAGATACTTACTGTTCAGTAGAGAGTCTGGTATTTCTATTGTTGTTAAAGATATTTACTGTTCAGTGGAGAGTCTGGTATTTATATTGTTGTTAAAGATACTTACTGTTCAGTGGAGACTCTGGTATTGAAACCGTTGTTGGAGAGACTTACTGTTCAGTGGAGAGTCTGGTATTTATATTGTTGTTAAAGATACTTACTGTTCAGTGGAGACTCTGGTATTGACACCGTTGTTAAAGAGACTTACTGTTCAGTGGAGAGTCTGGTATTTATATTGTTGTTAAAGATACTTACTGTTCAGTGGAGACTCTGGTATTGACACCGTTGTTGGAGAGACTTACTGTTCAGTGGAGAGTCTCGCATTACTGACTGTGTTAAAGAATTTGTTGGAGAGACTTACTGTTCAGTTAAGAGCTTGTATATTGTTGGACATACTTACTGTTCAGTGGAAAGTCTGGTCATTTATATTGTTGTTAAAGATACTTACTGTTCAGCGGAGACTCTGGTATTGACACCGTTTTTGGAGAGACTAACTGTTCAGTGGAGAGTCTGGTATTTATATTGTTGTTACTGATACTTACTGTTCAGTGGAGAGTCTCGCATTCATACTGTAATTTGTTAGGGAGACTTACTGTTCAGTTAAGGGCTTGTATATTGTTGTTAGACATACTTACTGTTCAGTAAAGATTCTGGTATTCATACTGTTGTTAGGGAAACCAATGCCATATCTCATGGGGTAGAATCGATCACTCAGTCCATATATGTCACAGGATTTGGACAGCCAGAGGTCATAATTCGTCGTGTCCCCGATGAAGGCGTATTTCTCAGTCATCACTTTGCGCATGTGCACATCTAAACTGAGGCTTTGGAAGTCCGGATCAACCATTGTATCCCTCTCAACACCTTGCCATATTCTTTGGAAGTCACTTCTGTTGGACGTCTGTACATAGAAACAGGAGGTTCATATTATGTGAGGTGAGGTTTCTGAGGGTTAACGTATGCGCATGAATATTACACTGACATGGCAAGTGAGTGCGTGCGAGCGGGCAAGGGAGCTTAAGTGATTCCACATACCTGGTCATGACATCGCTAAGCTACTGGCATTGGAGCCTAACGCTTCTTTTAACGTACAACGCGGGAGGGGCTCGAACCGCTGACCTCTCTGATGGACGCATATAGGGCGAGTAGATGTATTCAGCATTTATACAAATTCAATACAACTGCCTACAATGTTATTTGTTCTTGGCCATACAACGGGTTGAAACAAGTCAAAACATGATTACACAACAGTCTCGTTTCCTGCTGGCTGGGTTCCGTCCTGTTGCGCAACTTAGTACAATAACCAGTCCAGAATTTTGAAACCAATTCATTCAACTGGATACATAAATATTAATCAGTATTATTTGATACATCTAAGCACTTGTATATTGCAACACTACGCTACTTCTAAACCTTGCAAACACGTCGTGCAGCGTGCTCTGTCGTACAGCGTGCTCTGACAAACGGAAATCTGGAAATCTCAAAACGAGGCTCTGCCGCTAGAAATGTTTGGCGGTCTGGTACGGACTTGATAGTATATCAAATTACATTGTGCGTTACACAACTACATTGAATAAGCGCGAAAACCACATATCAGGTGTAACCAGTGAGCCAGATGACTTGTGAATCATTTTACGACCTCATCAAACAGGGACTGTGACGTCTTAGTTAAGGTCATGCTGCCTACACCTCGCCATAAAATATAGAAGTACGATGTTATTAAAGTTTAAAATTAAAATTAACTTGTAAATACCATTTTCTTATGAAACAAGGAATTGAAATTCAGTGTAACCATAGTTGTTTGTGGTGTCTCTATTCACTTTCACACGAGAAAATTCGGATCGGCTGAAAAGTAGGTCATTGTCTGAATAGGTTAATGAGACTCATGTTTCGGTTTGGTTTCAGCACAGCCAGATAACCAGGTCTGAACTGAAAATATGACGTTCTTGGCTAGTCAAATGGAAAATGAGATTCACTGAATCATTTGTTATAGTTTGTTTATTCTAATTGAAGGCTGTTAATACATGACGGTGGGTAGTAAAACGGTGGAGTCTGGACCATGCAAACCTGATTAATATTATGAATAACGACCAATACGTTTGGGCTCGATGGCATGCAATCAGATACGACCCACATAATTCTCTTACACCAAGCACAGGTTGTTGTGGAACGTTTCCAACATGGAATCCCTATTGGTTATTGTTGGAGAGTTTGCTGAAAATCTGGATTGCTAACGTTAATTTAATTGTCCATTAAAATATTCAAACAATACCTTAGAAAAGCCAACGCTTGCCATCAAAAGTTGAACTAAGAAATGCCAGTCAAAGACGAAAAAGGTTCTTTTAGCTGAGACACAGGGACAGTCACAATAACAGGCAACCGACGACATATCCACAAAGGTCCATATTAGTACACGCGTTGCGTGTATTTATGCCTAGTAATATTGAATTATGAAAACGTCATTTAACAACTGAAACAAAATTTAATGTCTAAAATATACCACAGGGCCATAATCTGGGACTCGAAACGGTCTTCAGCAACTCATGCTTGTCATCAGAGGCGTAAAGATGCATGTCATCGTATCGCAGATCGGTAGATCGATTGATTGTCTGGTTCTTTCTGTTAGTTACTACTGCGCTCAGTATTATGTGACTACTTACTTCAAACAGTGTTATAACCGCCGACCCTCCTATAAGTCCCCATCTGAACTCAGTCTGGTCTACCATCTCCCCGAGAGTGGAGAAGGGAGGTTTCTCCGTCGTAACAGTAAGAAAGGCTATGAGGTTGCCGCTGTAGGTTGCCGCCAGAATGACCGTCAGCAACCACCAACACGCCAACACCGACCGCCCAGACTGGGTTCTTGGGAGGTATGCGCCACCTTGGGAACCGCAAAAGTTGTTTTCATGGTCATGCGTTTCAAACATATGATTGGTTATCCCAAGAATTTCAAAAATATACAAGTAGACGTGTTCTTCTTAGCTAACGATATGTTAAATAGACCCACTCAGATCGTCATCTGCGTTTGTTAACGTGGGTATTAAATTACCTTCAAGCATTATTAAATTACCTTCAAGGGCAAACATACTGGCTTAATATTATGCGTACAATTACAGGATATATGTTTCCGTGCACAACAAGTCACAATTTGTCCATGCAAAATGTGCCAAATCTCCCACCAACACCACACCACCCCCCTACCCCACCCCCACACACCCTCCCATACCAAACCACCCCACCTCAACCCGGTCAGTGGATCAGTTTGCACAAACTGGGCTGCTTCTATGGGCTAGAACATTTGCTGACACCTTACCATCTCACCCTACCGGGAAACCCTTCGTTACTGGGTTAAATAGTCACTTACCTAAGATTACCCATTATTGTAAGAGAAGACCAAAGACCTAGAAACTCTCCGTGTCAAGGCGCTAAATGAGACCCCAAATCGAATTAATCTCCGCAACTAATTATAATGTTTTCATCTTCTCACTTTGTAACGTATAAAGCTTTCCTCTTACCATTAGCCATGAGGGCACCGAAATGGTACCACAGAATGTCCCCATAACGTATACGAAGTTCGGACAAACGCCTGTCCAGCCAAGCGTTGACCGGATGGACCTCCTCCACCACAAACAGGAACACCGTGGAGAAGATAAGGGAGAACAGGATGCAGATGTGGACCTCGTATCGGAAGGGCGCCACAAGGGTCAACCATTGGTTTTCATCCGGGTCCTGTTTGGCTAGGATGATCATTGAGTGGACGTAGAAATATGGTTGCGTGAAGTCCATCACTGTCTCCCGAGCATCGCTGATTGTTAGGGGCGCAATAATCATGTCGATTCTCTAGAAGAAGTAAGTGAGTATGGTTTTATGGCGCTTTCAGCAATACTCTTTCGGAAAGTGAACCTGATTTCGTATCGAAGTATGACATGTCAGCAATTCAAAATCACATGATGTTTTGTCGTCTAATGCGAGATGTTTTGCGCGTGGTTGTCACCAAACTGGAAAACGTCTTCCTTCGTTTAATGAAACATTTGTCGCTGTGACATTCAGTCAGTTATAATAATAGGTTAGGCATTTATACCACCTTAATCCAGAAAATGCTCAAAGGCGCTTAGCCGTATGCTCTTTTGAACATGAGGGTTTTCAGTTCAGATCTGAAACTTGTGATGTTGGTATTGTCACTTAAGTAGGCTGGAAGTTTGTTCCACAACACAGTGCGTATCACTGTCATAACTGTTTTAACTTTACGCTCAATGGAATGTGTCTCGGCTGTTAACTCGAGACTACACATTCTCTGACTAATCATTCTCTGGCTTTGTCTTTTAATAGAGTATATATACATTCGCATTACAAGAGAATAACCTGTGTAGACTGTGTATTTTGAAAAGGGCAAGCTATATGAATGGACCGCTGAAAATTAGTGGTGACACCATTTATTCGGGAAAAGCGTAATCATGTTCTACCCCACCAGTACCACTCAGTATTATGAGGATTTAGTTATTCTTGCCCTCCAGTAAGTTCTTTGGCTTACTGCTTTTATATGCTTCATCGTTTAACAATAAACACATCAACTGTCTTTAACTACAAACATATTTTTGGTTTTCTTTCTTTCTTTCTTGGTTGGTTGGTTTCGCGAACATCTGGTGTCATCACTAGTTTACCCCAATTCATAAACACATGCCTATGAAATAGTAGGAATCGTACAAAAGACTTTGAAGAGATATTTTATGATTATGGAAAGGGTTTTGTTTCTTTTTTTCAATTATTGAATCGAAAAATATCACATTTAAGTTTGACTATTCTAAAATACTGACTATTTCAGTTTACAACGACGTGATGGTCTCCTACCCCGCTTGCAACATCGCCGACGAGTCCTGTCCACTTGCCGTTGGCCACCCTGCCCCATTCCTGGTCAACGGGCTCAACAAAAACATAACTGGAATAGAATACGATAGGGCATCAGCCTAGAAAATCTCGGTAGTTTTCAAATTAAGTGGGAATGATTTGGGTGAAGTGTGGTGTAATGGGGCATAATTCTCATTCATGACTGTCTGTTTGTGTCCCTGTGGCTGTGCTAGTGTACGTCTCTCTCTCTCTCTCTCTCTCTCTCTCTCTCTCTCTCTCTCTCTCTCTCTCTCTCTCTCTCTCTCTCTCTCTCTCTCTCTCTCTCTCTCTCTCTCTCTCTCACTCTCTCTTTCTCTCTCTCTCTCTCTCTCTCTCTCTCTCTCTCTCTCTCTCTCTCTCTCTCTCTCTCTCTCTCTCTCTCTGAGAGAGAGATATAATGATATATGTTGCAGGGTAACAACAAATCACATCTTTCAGCGTCTTTCGATATCGCAGTCACGAATCGAACAGTTGATCTTCCGCTCTAATGGTTGTCTACACAAAACGCGATCCAGTGTAATGGTTGAGGGAAGGTGCGCGTAACTTTACCGCCGCTCTGAACAATATTTCAGATATCACGGCATAACAAACGTTAAAAATAACGTCAATCGACCTTGACCTCTCTGGTGGAATTCTTGAACACAAGTACGGTCCTGGATTCTGGATTCAAACACGACAAAATCCTCAAAGTTTAAAGATGGAGCTCTGCTTATCAAGCTCAAGCCATGACTTATGATCATCCACTTAATGAGTTAATGTGTACACTTCAGTATTCACCGTTACGTACCTGAAGTTCAGACTTCGGGCTAATTCATTCAGCATGTCCAGGCAGAGGCCATAATAGGTTCGGTTGTCTTCGGACTTGTACACGAATGGAGGCCACTATGGAAACATAGAGGAAATGGAGGCACATTTTATACATGTTTGACAAACATACTTCATTGTTTGACACATCAAAGTTGGGCGGTGTTTGTATCTTTGACGTGGCCAACCATGTTTCCTTCTGGTTCAGGTTGATAGCGTGAGCGGGCGAATGATTCTCCTTTGATGACAAAATACTTCGGCCTTCTAACGGGAGACAACAATTACTAGGCAACCTCAAGAAATCCAAACGACTAATTTTTTGTTTAATGTTTACACATGGGTGATAACATTTGAAAAGTAATTTGTAATTATTTCTGCCTACATAGGTGCAGTTCTAAGATGTCATAATTCGTTTCGTCGACTTCCAGATTCCAAGCCAAGAACAAAACCTGCCCCATCGCCTATCAGAATTACCATTCCAACCTAGAGCCTGTCAGCAATCAGGTGTCCGTCTCGTGAAGAAACAAAAACAACATAGATGTTAGCTTCTCCAGCACCGAGACCATCAAGAACCTCCGCATGTCAATGGCAGATGCACAAGCAGCTCAAAGCCCCAACCCCAGAGAATGTGTATACAAGATCCCCTGCACATGCATCGGTGAAACCCAAACACCAGACTCAAAGAACACCAGACATCTGTCAACAAATTCGACCTGAAAGACGGCATTTCCGAACACATTAGAAAGAACCGAGACCACGCCATGACGTGGAAATCCATTAATTCCTGTCTACCAACAACCATAACTGGCGTCAAAGGAAGCTACAATAGGTCATAGCCATCAGGAGATAACAAACAGCAATCATCCGTGATCAGGGAACATACCTGCCGAGTGCTGTAACTTTGATTTAATTATATGTGATTGCTTCCATGTCTCCGCTATCACCTCTCAGTGCCATTACCCCTTTTTGTCTATTACCTATCAATGCTTGATCACCTAACCGGACTATTTACGCCTAGATTATTTCCTGACTTCTATATGTTCATTGCCATTACTAATGAACGTCAGTGCACTACTAGTTTCCCTTGGTAAGTGCCCACCATTATTATCAAAAAAATCTCCTTCATCTTTTTCATTTACCTGGTGAAGGAGTAAGGATCGTGACGTTGTGGTTCTCATAACAAAGAATTTGACATCAATAAATTGTCACCTTTCAGATTTGTCCTTGTGATGATCAAGCATAATGATCGTGCTAAATGGGTTTTATGAAGTGGTACTCAAAGCGACTTGCATTAGCTCGCGATTCTCTTATTCATTAATTGAAATGCCTTATGTCACAGACTAAAATGGCGTTAAACCCATCAACTTACTCACTCATATGTACGTCAAGGAAGGTTGTTGTTTTTGTTAAAACTATTAAACGCGGAGATGTTGGTTATTAGCCTTTTGAAATTATAGTATGTCGTTTCTATGTTAGATACGAATATATTTGCTTCTAGAATGCCATCTTTGCTAAGTTTTCATGGATATTTGGATTAATTGTTACGTCCTGGGAATATTACCTACCGCCAATATCCCAACTTTGAAGGTTCGGTTATTGTAACCGTATTTGTCAGTTTCGAATATTTCATTTGACAGTCCTCTGCTTTCATTAAGAAGTACTCGACCATTCAGACGCAGCACCTTCCCATGGTGGGTGTCGTGCGTGGTGTAGATGTCGGCAACGGCCGGCGCGGAGGTTGTTATCTGTGTCTGTAAGGAAAATTCATTGTACTGGACATGTAAACCAGGATAACACTGCCTTAAGTGTTTCAAATGGGAGGAACTGCCAGGTTATCATACACAACAAGGGATGAAACCATAAAAAGACGTTGCGAATGACATATAAAACCTATCCTGCGAACAACGGAACCGGTTGTTCAATGACGTCATGTAATTATGACGTACGTTTAAACAGAAAATGGTATTGACATGTCGTAAAAATCTACATGTTCACTTGAAATATAATGCACTGCCTTGAAAACTAACAACAATATACCATACTAAAATTGTATATGTACCCTTCAGTCGTGGTCATACTATTTATAGTTGACCAAATATTATATCAACTGTCGAATAATGAAAGGAGAAAGCAGTATTAGGCCAAATCGGTATATTTTCATTAATGATAATTCTCATAAAATAATGGACAAAAAACCAAAACATTTGGAATTTATTTGTTATTAATTTATTCATCTTACCTGAACGGCATGTTTAGTGAGCTCCACGGCTTGCAGCTTTGAAAGTTGAGAACCATTCGAAATCTGGTTTGTGACTTTCCTAAGACTCTGAAATGATAGAGGGAAATTTCGCTTTCTGTGAAGTATGACATGTTGATGAAATCCATGTAAGTGTAAGTTTTCATAGGATGCATGGGCAATATGTTGGTTGATATCTCCGTCGCATCATTTTGTTCTTTTGTGGCTTTAAACTATAAACATTTCATAATACAAAGGAGCGTGCAATGCAAGGACACTAAGATATACTGTCCTTCAAAAGAAAGCATACATTTGTAGATCAGATTCGACCCCAAAATTACAAACATTACTGAAAACATTCGCCGAAACGCTGCAGGCCTGTATGAAATACAAGATATAATTATTTTTATCCAGCATCATACCTGGGTGTATTCTTTCTTTTGGCGGCTGTTTATATCCATTATAATTCGGTGGGGTAGTCTAGTGGTTAAAGCGTCATGCCGAATTCCCGGCTTCGATTCCCCACATGGATACAATGTGTGAAGCCTATTTCTGGTTCCCCCCCCGCCGTGATATTGTGGGAATAATCAAGCAGATTCCATCTGTGTAGCCGATTACGAATCACTCGTAACTCGTGATTGTAATCTTCTAATTACTCCCCGTGAAACGCTAACAATGCTCTGTCGTGACCCGGGTTCGATTCCCCACATGGATACAATGTGTGAAGCCTATGTCTGGTTTCCCCCGCCGTGATATTGTGGAAATATTGCTAAACGTGGCGTAAAACGTAACCCACTTATACACATTGTGAGTATGTGTGGTTATGTTGGATATATCAGACAGAGATGCACCTGAGTCTGAATTCGGAAATCTCAATTACAATTATATATACAAATAAAATACATGCCCTCGAGTTTGTTATTACTTTAAAGACAATATTAATGGGGGAAAACAACTTTGATCAACTTATTAAAACAATTACTTTAGTATTGAACCAGTTGTTTAACCTTGTCAGACCTGCAAGTTTATGTCAGTATTACAATTCTAATTTCAAGTTGGATGAAGAAACTGAGAAATCAATTTTTTTTTTCCATTTTATTACAGAACCAGGTAGTTTTTTTTATCATAGGTGTTGTGTCTTTAAGTTTGTTTGTTTGTTTGTTTGTTTAAGTTTTCAGGCGTGTTTTGTTCTTAGGGATTTTTGAAGTTGCTGCTTGTTGCTGTTGTTGCTGTTGTTGTTTAAAACGGCACTTAGCAATTATCCAACCAATCTCGTTATTCGCCTCCTACAAGCATAATAAGCCTGAAATCAGCTCTAACCAGTATGTTCACGGGTAGTCATGTCTTGGTGAAATTCTACTACTTACAAATACGGGATACTTCTGTTGGCATGGGTGAAAGTGGAGGACGGATACATCAGCAGAATGGTCTAGATCCGGCGGCAGGGTCTGCTCGGTACTATCTCCTTCAGTCGATACCAACAGCCATCGAGATCTCTTCATTACTGTGCTCTTGCTGATGTCCGTCTTCAGCGACACGACCTGTACTTTGAATGATTGTAAAGGTTGTTAAGAGGAGGACCCAAGTATAAAATAGTACATCCTTGATGCAAGAATATGCTACAGAGTTATTCGACCTACCTATAATATAGCGATTCAATAGAATTAAGATTCCTCTAATAACACCGGCGACTGTTAAGCTACACGGAAACTTGTTGGTTGTCATACTGTGACAAATGCTGTTTTTCCTATTATAACAAGCGAGTGATGTCCGTCGCGTATGACGTTGATGTCTGTGCACGTAAAGACGAACGTAATAATTATAAGGCACATACTGTAATGATTATGACCCATGACATGATTCTGATGGATGTAATGCAATAACTGAGACACATGTGATGAAACTAACGTACTGTAATCCTACGATGCATGTAATATTTTTAAACAAATGTAATGGCATTATTGTGATACCATGCAATAAAATGATTGTGAAGCATGGAATGAAATGTTTGTAACTAGCGTGATGCAATTATTGTGAAGCATGGAATGGAATGGAATGATTGTAACTAGCGCGATGCAATGATTCTGACGGATGGAATGCCAATGATTATGCCACATGTTATGAACATGATTATGGTTGTAACAAAATTATTGCAATTAGCGTAATTAATGGTGACGCATGAATGAGGGAGTGAGTTTGGTTTTACGCCGCTTTTAGCAATATTCCAGCAATATCACGGCGGGGGACACCAGAAATGGGCCTTACACATATACCCATGTTGGGAATCAAACCCGGGTCTTCGGCGTGAAGAGCAAACGCTTTAACCACTAGGCTACCCCACCGCCCCATGACGCATGAAATGATTGTAACTAACGTGATGAAACGTCCGCTTGCGATAGACGTTAGATTATGATTGTGGCTGATGTAGCAATATGTCTCTTAAGGCCAAGAAATACTACGATTGTAAGGTAAGTTTGATAATATAGTGATGCATGTATTGAAATTTTTTAAAAGTTTGATGACATTTTTATTTTGATGGCTATTATAATACGATACTGTCAAATTCATGTTTGCAATTATATTATATACATCAGGCTAAGTCAATTGTAAGCATGTTAGTCAGATGTACAAATCTTACGAGAACATGGGAAATCTTCACATACTGGCATATGTAAACCTTACCTGAGCCATGATGTTATAAAGGCAATCAGAAGAACAAATGGCGATGAAGTTCAGATGCTGTTCTTCTATCGCTTTGAATATATCCTTCAGACTCTCCTTGGTAGAAAAGTTACCATTTTGGTCCACAGTTAAAGATACAGTCTTTTTAACATGCGATGGAAATCTGTTGGATATTGTCGCAATATCTGTGAAAAAAGTTAGTGTATGATATTATAAATCACTGTTAACAGCACGAACTCATATTCGAGTGAGTCTAAACATTCAGATAATGGCGATTCAGTTTCCGATCACTCCTATGACCATATGTCCATTCGCAAGCTCTAATACAGCTCCAATATTATTTCAGGCGGCTCAGAATCCTCCCTCTCTATTTGTACCCAAAGCAAATCGTGTTTTCTTGAGCAGTGCGAATTTTATCATGACAAAATATGGATGTGAATACATGACACTTTTATGGATAACAACTTCTTTTATTCTTTACACGACGTTTCAGAGCTAATTCTTGCTCCTTCATTCACCTGATGTAGGAGCAAGAATTAGCTCTGAAACGTCGTGTAAAGAATAAAAAGAAGTTGTTATCCATAAAAGTGTCATGTATTCATGTTCGTCCAACTTCTAAATTCCTTTCAAAAATATGGATGATGTAACAAAACGTCCTACCTTCACTTGATGTCGTGACCACTATGTACGACTCGGCATTTTCTCTGCTCAGTATGTAATTCAAAGTGGTAAGGAAACTATCATCAAGAGTAAACGACACACTCAGTTGAGGAAAATACTGCTCGATGGCTCCAGGCAACATCTGCATGTCCCGTATGTAGACAGGACACCGTGTCTTCAGCAGGTAAGTGCAGTTGTGAAAGATGATACCACATTGAGGGATAACTGAAGAATGGCGGTCAAGGTAATTCGCACGACAAGCTTCCGGAGTCGTCTCAATTAAAACGTCACCTTTGAGGGACCGAACTGAAGAAAAGAGGGAGGCACGTATTTTAAATGATTATACAAGCACACACATTTGAATTGTAGGTCACTAATAAGTAAAAGGGCTAGCCACCAAAATTTCAAAGATGGGCACGAGCCATCAAAAATTCAAAGATGGACACGAGCCATCAAAAATTCAAAGATGGGCACGAGCCACCAAAATTTCAAAGATGGCCACTATTTAAATGGTAAACTTGTATGCGTAACGGTACCCGGGAAGGGTATTTACTGTTTTAAATTAACTTTATTCGCTTATTAATTCGATAGCTGGTTTTCACCTGGGGCGTTTGCATTGTCCAATGTATATTTGCAGTTATTGATGAAGTCATTCGGTCCACTGGTTTCAACTGTTTTACCCACATGAAGCTTTTAGGGGTAATTGATGGTTATTACCACTATTTGATGTCACATCAAACAATTCAACAAAGAAATCGACTTGCACTTTAAATGTATATATTTTATTTGGCCTAATACCTTGGGGAATTGATTTCATGCAGTTCATTGCAAGTAGTGTTCTTTTATAATGTGATTAATTCTACATCATGCGCTATGATGGATGTTGGAATGCCGGTAGCTTATTTTAGACGGGTTCATTTAAGTACACCTGCACCTGTCGATTGCGAGATGATATCAACCCTAGAGAATGTCAATCAATAACAACATGGAACAGTAGGGGACGTTAATGGATTGTATTGGATGTCATGTCACTCAGTTCGTGAAGCCTACAATCATCATCACGATTGTACCACAACCAAACAAAAGGTCTGATTAATCTTTCACAGTCAATCAGAAGACCTGGAATATATATGTTCATATGTACAATTCAGTGTTGGTAGAATCGACGCAGCACACGGGTTATCAACCTGAAGTCGAGAAAATAACCTCTAATGCTCTGTAAATTACACATTTTCGTAGAATCGAGGCAGCACAAGGTTTATCAACCGAAGGCAAGAAAATCTTCTTTACATGTAAATGGCATTGTATATTCATCTACTGCTCTGTAAATCACATAAAATCGTCATTACCTGAACATTTGAAAAAATGCATGTTATATGCACACATCTAAAATAATTATCTGATCAAGCAGAATGTCAAGGTGGCATGACACGCGTAAACTCTTTAAAAGACGCTATTGACATTTTATCACATTCACGGGATTACCACACACTGGCGAAAAGATTGTGCGGTGTTAGATATACATCGTGGAATAATGAAGGTTGTAATACCTGCTTTAGCTCTGGCGAAAAGATTGCCTGCTGGTAGTCTGGTCCAGGAGATGTTCAGAAAGCGATGATCTTCATCCAGAAGGATGTTTTGTTGGCATTGGAGTTCCTCTGGACAGTGTGGTGCTCCATTCTGTATCAGTATGTCTACAAACAAAGAAGTCGTTCTAAATGTTTGGTTTTGTTGTTTAACGCCACAATAGTGATATTGCAGCTGTATGACAGCGGGCTGTAAATAAACAAACTGATGGAATTGGGGTAAGGGAGTTTAGTTTTACGCCGTACTCAGCAATATTCCAGCTATATGGCGGCGGTCTGTAAAAATCGAGTCTGGACCAGACAATCCAGTAATCAACACCATGAGCATCGATCTACGCAATTGGAATACGATGATATGTGTCAACCAAGTCAGCGAGCCTGACCTGCCGATCCCGTTAGTTGCCTCTTACGACAAGCATGGGTTACTGAAGATCAATTCTAACCCGGGTCGACAATCCACTGGTTTGGCATTATGAGCATCGATGTAGACAACTGGGATGCGAAGAGATGCATCAACCAAGATAGCAATCCAGAGCACCCGAATCAGTTGGTCTCCACATGGGTACAATGTTTGAATGGGTTCTGAAGATCAATTCTAACCCGGATATTCACGGGTCTGATGGAACCGGTGACGTCCCAATTGAAACGGAATTATTCTGACGAATGTCAGGGTGTAGTAACTGGTTGGTCTGTTTGTTATTAAAGCCGCACTCAGCAATATTCCAGCTACATTACGTCGGTCTAAATAATCGAATCTGGACAGACAGCGGAGTTACTGCCATCATAAGCATCGATCTATACAACTCAGATGAGCCAAGTCAGCAATCCTCACCATCTGATTCCGTCAGTCACCTCTTTCGACAGTCTACATAACTGAAACACCGTTTAAAGAGGTTAACCTATGTGTTTAAAGCTTTCAGACGTTATGAAACCAAACCCACTACTTTAAGTGACATTACGAATTGACTGTAGGCTCCACGCACGAGAAGTATTTTCGTTCTGTACACTTACATTATTCTCTGTTAGCCACGAGTCATAGCTGCATAACACTGAATGTATAGTCTTGACGTGTTCGTAAAATAAGAAGACACAAAAACTTTTTCATGCCATAATCACTCATCGCGGAAGAGAATTCTCTCCATCAATTCAACATAATTCAAACATTAATGCGCCTTAGATCTCTGGGCTATCTTATTTTGTGTCTTTTTATTTATTTTTAGTTAAGTTTATTATTTATTTTGTTTTGTGTTTTGTGTAATTTGTTCCGATTGTTTGTGAGGCGTTTGAAGGGAATAGGTCTTGGTGATTTTGTTTGTTGGGTTTTGTTGTATTTTAGTTGTGGAGGGGAAGGGGGTCTCTAAGAATTATACTGAAACGCTGTCAGTTTCTTTCAGTCATCCAATTTTAAACCCTTACTGACCCATTGAAACAGGACAAATGAAGTTGCGCCCAAAAACAGCCACCAACTGCTTATGTGAGCGCTATATCTGTACATCCATCCTTAAATTAATTCGAATTGACAAGTGATTTATTCCTTTTAACACATAAAAATACATCCACTGTTTACAATACAATGAAACGTATTTCTTAAGTTTCTTCCCTGTATCATGAAATAATTATATACAACGTAAAGAAATCCACAACGCACACAGAGTGTTGTATTGCCCATTCTCATGTAGATCGAGACGTCTAATCTCAGGGGCATTGAGGAATGAACGTTTAATTACACCTGTGACTGGCGGATGCTGAACGAAAATAGCATTTGGCTTGTCATTGTTGCTCTAATGAATATTTAAAGATCAGCTAAAAGACAGTCATGTGTTCGATACTGACGAACAATGAAGGATGTCATGCGGTGCGAGGTAACTTCAAATGTCAGTAGGTGGTTGTAACAGAATCGTGCATCCAACATCTACAGTTCTATCTTTAATATTTAGATGTCGTGTATGAACAAGTCATAGAAGTGCAAATTTCAGAAGCAAGTGGGTAAGTTGTTTTGTGTGTGTTTGATCATGCCTCGCTCGCAGAATGACGAAATCGCATTTTGAAGAAAAGGATTCAGTACGCATGAAGAATGTATGTAACTCTAGTCACGAATACTGGCTGGACTGTAACATGCAATATTAAATAGTGTTGAGTTGTTGAAGCGTCATGTTGTATTGCTAACGTCAATATCAGACCCATGTGCTGCCGACCCCTGAAGATTCGGGTTAGAACAGATCTTCAGCAACCCATGCTGAGACGACTAATCGGATCGGCTGGTCAGGCTCGCTGACTTGGTTGACACATTTCATTGTATCCCAGTTGCGTAGATCGATGCTCATTATGTTGACCAGTGATTGTCTGGTCCAGACTCGATTATATACTCTTCAAATAAAGTAGGGGAACCTGAACTTTTAATTTAGATAAGAAGTTTAAGCGTTTATAAACTTTTCAAAGAAACGCACCACCAGTTCTCTTTATCGCCACCCCTAACCACAGATGGGATGCACGTCGATTATATACACGTGCATGGGGTGTCATTCAAATAAAGTAGGGAACCTGAACTTTTAATTTAGATGACACATTTCATTGTATCCCAGTTGCGTAGATCGATGCTCATTATGTTGACCAGTGATTGTCTGGTCCAGACTCGATTATATACTCTTCAAATAAAGTAGGGGAACCTGAACTTTTAATTTAGATAAGAAGTTTAAGCGTTTATAAACTTTTCAAAGAAACGCACCACCATTTCTCTTTATCGCCACCCCTAACCACAACGCATGGGATGCACGTGCACAACGCAGTAGCGCCATACACGTGCATGGGGTGTCATTCTTGAGTTTTGACAGTTTTCCAAAAGGTCGATCAATCACTGTGGATCAATAATTTTGACAATCATCTTGTATGACACAATTGTTAGTGTTTGTTTTGTTTGAAAATGAAAATGAAAATTTCACGCCATACACCAATCATCTTTCAAGAGCGATGACTGTACAAACAACTATGGTCATAACGAAGTGCAAGTGGTAGTGCACTCTCAAAACATTCATTATTATCATGTCAACATTGATTGACTCCGATATATCTCCCAATTTTTTCAATCCTAAATTAGACCCGTGAAGGTCCGGGTTAGAATGAACCTTCAGTAACCCATGCTTGTCGTAAGAGGCGAATAACAGGATCGGGTGGTCAGACTCGCTGGCTTGGTTGACACATGTCATCGGTTCCCAATTGCGCAGATCGATGCTCATGCTGTTGATCACTGGATTGTCCGGTCTACATTCGATTATTTACAGACCGCCGCCATGTAGCTGGAATATTGCTGAGTGTGGCGTAAAACTAAACTCACTCACTCACAATCGTGAATTAAAAACGAAGTTCCCCTTCATTTTTGGTGCCATGCGATCTTCTGTTCTGCGCATTAGTCACACATGAGATGATGTTAGGCAACGTTGATCACGGAGAACCCTCATCCATTACATGGGCAGGAGACATATTGTACTATTATGTTTAATGCATAATTGTTCGTCATACTCCACTTGACATGCGCATGAAGCACAATGTTGGCAAAGACACGTTTGCATCTATCTATCTATCTATCTATCTATATAGATATCTATCTATCTATCTATCTATAGATAGATTATTGATGCAAACTATTATACATATATATATTATATATATATGCATAGATATATAGATGTATCGTATTGTGTGTGTGTATATCAATATATATATATATATCGGAGCCGATCTGAGATATTTCTTTCGTTGAAAAAGTTAAACGTTATGTTTCCACAAGTGGTGTTAGCCGAGTGAAGCAAGTGCAAACCAAGAAACGAGGTGCTACGGGGTACGTTATACTGTATTAATCTGTACTAGGCAATGACGACTGACATGCATCATGACGTCGGTTACCAAGGGTACGTTTGATTACGAAGGGGCAGACTACAATGGCGTAGTGATGTCAATACAGTGTGACGTAATAAAAAAAATCGCCTGATAAAGTTCTTTCGGCGCCTTTGCATTTTAGAATATATGACGTACTCATTGCACACCTCTCCCCACGGTATTTCTACCCATGCCTAGAATGAAAAGATTGTTTGCATTATAAATAGCTGTTATTTTAGAGCTAATGTAGTTACAGAGCATGCGGTTTATGCCATCACGTGAACTCTAATTACAAAAGGTGCCGCCGTGAAGCTAATAGGTGTGAGCTAAGTGTGAGCTATGTTCAGGGTGTATGGTGAAATGAACACTTTTGAATGCACTGAAGGTTGGACAGTCACACCCCAACATATTCCACTTCAATGACATCCTGAAGCAAGAACAGTGCCACACAGAGATTGTCATATTTTTTAATATAAACATATTTTTTTCATGAAATATAAACATAACATGAATAAGGATTGGCACAACAAGCCAACGGCTTATGTAAGTGCCGCTCCATCAAATATAACACAATACAATCAATAATTAATTTCAAACAAAGTACAGAAGCAATTATTTCCACAAAGGCATGAAATGCACAATAATAGGAAAAGTCTACAAAATTACATTAAATGGTTCATAGTAATTGCATACATAAGAGTTTAGAATAATTTGAATCTATTTGAAAGTACATGTAGTATGTATTTATGAACAGAGTCAAGAATAAGCTGATTAATTCTGGCAGAAAACTCCAATTGAGTATGCCGATGCCGTGTCTGGTTGGACTTTTTAGTCTGGTATATGTTTGTTACTGAGTGATCTGTGTATAACAATTATTTCACATGTTATAAGTAAGTTAAAAGCATCATGTGAAAATATGTTATATTGAAAGTATATTCAGTCATTGTATGTTAAGTCATGGTTGATGTGTATAAAAATATACGTTTAAAAATATATGTTGAGATGACCCCCACCTAATCCTATTGTTCTACCAATTACCACACCTGACTGTACAACCTAATTTAAACAATAGGAGGTGGCAAATCAGGAAGACCCCCATCAAGCGTACCTAGCTTAGACAACGTGTTAGTTCTATAGTTTGTCAATCCCCAGGTCCATTACCGGGCTCTCAGTGAGCCATGAACATATCTCTTGTAGGTATGCATGATACCCTCAACCGCACCCGGTTAGAGAAC